AGAGACAAGCATAATGAACAATGCCTCCTCCCAAAAGATTTGAATTAGATATTTTTTTTTTTTTTTTTAAACTATACTTCCAGGCAAACAATATATGCTTTTAAAAATAAATATAAACCTCAATTAAAATGGATTAAGAAGTTGAACATTTTTTAATCTGCCTTAAAAATTCTAACAATACACTACCTATATCTATAGAGTTCTTATTTTTAATACTGCTCAAATAAAAATAAAAAGCTAAACAATAGGAGTGAGAACAGTCTATCCCCATAGATTAAATAAAGGGTTCAGTTCAGAATTCATTGTAGGTTACCCAGAACAATATACACCTGAGGAAAGCCAGATAGCAAAAAGATTGTGATAACAAGATAAAGACAATAGTCCAAATATAGTGTAAATAACAGTAGGTAAAAAGTGAAATGGTGTGTGCGCCATACAAGTCTGGTAGACACTAATCCCAGTGGATATAAATATTCAAATGATTTATAACAATATGGGATTGGAGAACATCTGACCATCTCCAAAAATTCATGTATAGTTTACTTTGTGCACCAACCACACCCTCCCACCCCAGACCACCATTTTACCAAATTTACCATATTTTTTTCTGACACAGGAGAGCCATAATTTTAATTTTCAAAACAGGACCACCGAACTTTAGAGATTAGCCAAGACAGCACTTTGAACACATTGAACTTGATTTAACGTAGGTAGCACCTGGATAAAAACAATACATTTGGTATATAAATACTTACCAGAGATCAATAAGCAATCCAATCAAAAGCTATTTTCAGATTCCACTGAATATTTTGCCAAACTATATATAAAGTTTGGTAAAAAGCTACCTCAAGGAATTTTTTTTTTTTTTAATTATACATTTTGGACTATTTTTCTGGTTTCTGGGGGGGAAAATAAATTATATATATATATATATATATATATATATATCTAATATCACTGGAGGAAAACAAAAAATTCCTTATCTAGCACCCTAGAACTCTCAATAATGCACAACATGTAAGGTGTACGACCGTGAGTTGATTTGGCTTTTCATGGCTTTATCAACCTGGATAACACAAAACATTAGGGTGAATCAATTTTTTGCAAGCAAATCTTTTTAGAATTACATTTTTTTTTTTTAAAGGCATAAGCCATACTGTTTAGCCTATAGCTTGGGGAGAAATGGATTCATATCTTTCCCAAGGTCATTAGTAAATGTAATGAACCCAATTGGAATTCAAACTTTGCTTTAATCCCTCAATCTGAGCCATTACAGACATCTGTATAGTGTGTGTAAGCTAAAACCATAGAAATTTAAAAAAAAAAAAAAAAAAATTGTTTTGCATCCAAAATATTTTTATCAGCACTTTCTGCCTTCATAAGGCATTATCAAAAAAATCTAGATGCAAAACTTGTAAACAAAATGCAAGCTTTGACGATGTCCCTTCACCTCCGCCTGGAGTGGGGGGAGGAGTTGTTTAGAGGGAGAAGCATTGAAGTTATATGCTCCCTCCCATCATTTACTTACTATACACATCATCACTAAACACATGGAAATAATTTAAATGAATGATGAAATCATCAACTAAGGAATTCTAGATTAACAACAACAACAACATTCAGAGACATTTTGAGTGTGTAGCAGGTTGAAGACTCAAACCATCTTGTGGAGAGATGAGTACAAAAGTCCCTAATAAGATATGAAGTGGGTCGAGTCGAGAACTTTTCAGCACGTATATAAGGAAACACATACACAATACACACACAATAATAATGCTAAGAACAGAGATTATTTCACAGTACACGACCTTTCAAACCTATGCACACAACAGTATGGAGTGCGCGTGGAGGCTGGCAGACCCCCAAAGCAACAGTTCATCAGACATCTTCCTTCCCAGTTAAGACGAAATGTATTCAACTCTAGTAAAAGGGAATGCCTCTAAAAGAGAGAGAGAGAGAGAGAAAGAGAACTACGATATCCAAAAAAGGAGGAATCATTTCAGCCGGCTCAGCAAGTAAAAAAGAGGATAACAAGCAACAAGAGAGAGGGGTGCAGAGGGAAAGAGGAGGAGGGGGGCAGTAGTAAAAAAAAAAAAAAAAAAGATGGAGACGTAACAGAAAGTGATTCACAAATTAAACGCCGGGTCACTACTACGACGTGGAATGATGTTGAAAGATTTACTTAAAATTACCCCCTCCCCTTCACACAAACTTCACCTTTCGGTATGACGTAGGTATTAGTAAATAGTAGCATAGATTTTTTTTTTTTTAGTTATTAAAAAACAAAAAAAGTTCTTTTGCTAGTCTTTTTTTTTTTTTTTTTTATTCTGTCACAGTTTCCAAGACTTTTTTTTGGCAAAAAGCTGACTGACAGGAATGGTTACATACACTGGCATAATTTCTTGCTTGTCAATCAGGAAAAGCTTATTTCTGACTCGACGAAAGAAACCCACCCACTCAATAATAATAATAAAAAAAAAAATTTAAATCAGATTGCCCCTTGATCGGAGAATGGTCACCGTGCTAGTTTGGGTAACCGCAGTGAGTTCGTATTGAACTATAAGAAGTGGGGGCTGGAGACTACACAGAAAGAACAAATACGGCGATGGAGATTAGTACAGATTACCCCCCCCCCAGGAATCTACTACAGGTCACCTGTCCATTAACCATTAGTCCCCCCATTGTATCCCCCCTCGAACTTCATTCACCAACAAGTGGATATAGATAATTAGAAAGAAAAGAAAAAGAAAAAAAAGAGACTTCCAACAATCGTTTCAGCAAGTACTTGTAAAAGCCATGACACCCAGGGGTACGGCAGCCCTACATAGCTTTTCCAGCCATCTCTTTCTATAACACCCAGCCCAGCCACCCTGTTGTTACTTCTATTTGTCAGCAGCCTTCATCTATCTACCCACGTTTCATAACCAGGTCTTTTATCTCCCCACCCAGCCATATCACACCTAGATTTATAATCAGTAATCCTGATTTATAATCAGTAATCCATTTTTTTTGTCTTTAATATTCAGTCGGCGTGCTTTAAATAAGAATGCATTTTTTTTTTTTTAAATACCAGGGGTTAAATGTATAAATAAGACTAAGAGAGAGAGAGAGAGAGAGAGAGAGCTGTAAAATAAAATTCTTTTACATTATTACACAAGAGCAAATATTTTTGAAATTTTCTTTTGGCAGAGGGAACATTTTTTTTTTTGGGGGGGACACAACTTATCAATGTCCTAAGAGAAAAAAAGGAAAATTATTTCTCTTACAGAGGATGAAGGCGAAAAACAAAATGACTTACTATTGAAGGAAGATGTTTCTAGTACATGATTTTTTTTTTTTAGGAGAACAATGTAGATAAAAATTAACAATCAGGTTATACAAACTAAACATCAGTGTAACTATAACTAGTGTATATAAATAATTTCTTTTTTTTTTTTTTGTAACTACCTACACACGCCAGGAGGTGGCTATGTATTTTATATTATTCGACCAAATTGAAAAGAAAAGATTTTTACGACCGTCCATTAGTTAGCTAGATGCTGACAGTAACTGACATATCATCATGGTACACACTTATACACACGTGTACGAGAGTACGGTATCATCATGGTACACAGTGCAGTACACTACACATTAGATCACCAGCGAAAAAGATTACATTTTTAATACTTTTTCGTAGACCAAACGTGAATTTTTTTTATAAATACCAACAAGTGCTTGGAATAGAGAGGTTTAGGTAGAGAAACACCACACACTAACCTAATAATGATAATAAATCAGTTGTATTTGCGGGGACGAGGTGAGAGAGAGAGAGAAGTCAGGTCGAAATAGAGAAGCGGGCTGTGAGCAACTACAGAATGAACCCCGATTTTATGCCCACCCCAGTTTTAGTTGTTCTTGGTGGATTCCGACGACAAGGGTATCAGGCATCACGGCCAGACAACCATACTTAATCGAGAGATGTAGGTAATTATTAGAGGACAAGCTTATTATTTAGTCTCTTTTTATATATTATTGAAAGGTTAATAAATGCGATCGTCTTGCTTACTACTAACTACTAGAGATCTAAAAATGTAGGCAGGTTGGATGTTGAGGGTCGGCAATCCGCCAGTTTTAATGACAAAAAAAAAAAAAATAAAAAAAATGAACAAATGAATCAGAGATTATGAAAAACATTGGTTGGTGGTAGTTTTGTTTTTACTAGTTAGTAGCTAACTAAGTACTAATTATTTAATGCAGAGAGTAGCAGTTATCTAAATAGACATCACACCAATAGGAAATTTTAATTAATGAGGACGAAATAGATTTGTGGGAATTACATACGTTTATAAAATAAAATTATTTATATATCTCCTAAATTGTCAAAGGAAAAAAAAAAAAAAAAAAAAAAAATGAATGAGAAAATTAAAAAAAAGAAAAAAAAAGTAAAATAAAAATAGTTGACTTTGTATTAAATGAAAATGAAATTCATTCATAAGTTTAGATAAAATAAAATGTGTTTGGGTAATAATCACTCTCTAATACAGGTTTCATTAATATATGACACTATATCTGTTAATTTTTTGTTTTTCTTGCAGTTGAAAAAGACCCCTACCTCAATTTGATCAACAAGAAAAATACATTAAGGAAATTTAAAGTACCTTCTCAGCCATTTTTAAGTGAAAAAAAAAAAATATATATATATATATATATATATATATAAATCGTGTCTGATGAGATTGGATGAAAAAAATTCATGAAGACTTGATAGAGATTTAAAGAAATGATATAATCAGTTACAAAAAAAAGTAAAATAAAAGATTTCTATTTTAAAGTTATTACGGCTGTACAAAGGAAAATATTCACCTTAAAAATATATATATCAAATTAGATATTTTATGTAAAAAGAAAAAAAAGGGGTAAAAATATTTTTACTCCTGGGATGGGCGAATTATTTGTAAGTGATTTTAAATATTTTGGGAAAAAAAAAAGTTAAAAAAAATACATATATAAATTCTCACCTTTTGTACATCTTATGAATTTCATAGTTTTTTTTTTGTTGTTGTTGTTGACCAATTCCAAGGGTGGGAGAGAAAAAGCTCAAAAAAAAAAAAAAAAAAAAGGGAGTAGTGGAAAAAGAATTTAAAAAGTTTGAAAGAAAACTTTATACTGTGATTTTGTTTTTTATTTACTTAATTTTTTGTTTGTAGCAGTTCTGAGGCTTTTGATAAGGACTTTTACCCCCCTCTTTTGAATGAGAGAGAAAAAAATCTAGATATATATAAAAAAAAAGATTTTTTTTTTCATAAAATAAATGTTTAATTAAATGTAGATTTTTTTTTTTTTTTTTTTTTTAAAGAAAGACAATGGTTATGTTTGTGGTGGGAGAAAAAAAAAAGTATTTTTAACTATAGAGGTAGATTTTTCTTTTTTAATAATCTCTTCTGTGGGTTTTGTTTTAGAACAAAAATCTAGGTTAGTTTTTTTTAAAGCAAGTTTTTTTCTTTTTCCTTTAAAGAAACCAATTTTTTTTTCTCTTTTTATTTAAAGACAAAGATTTATTTTGGGTTAAAATGAATTGCCACGTATCTTCGTGAAAGCAATATTTTTGAATTTATTTTCTTTCCAATATTATAAACTGTCAGAATCAAGTATTTATAAACATTTTATCACAATCTGGACGTTTTTTTTTTCCTCTGAAAATAAAATGTTAAAATTAACGGGCAAAGAAGGGAAAAAAAAAGGTTTACAAAAAAAGATCAATTTTCTTTTTCTTTTAAATATTTGCAATGTAAATGCTTTCGAGGGTAAATTGCTTTTTAGTATTTAAAATAAAATTTTTTTCTCCTGATGGCTACGATTTTAAACAAACTTTACTTTTTTTTAAATTTATATTCTTTTAAAAAAAAAAAAAATGCTTTTTAGTTTTATTTCTTGACCCCACAAATAAAAAAATACGTTAACAAATAAAATTTTAGTCTAAAAACATTACCAAAATTTAAAAAAAAGGAAAAAAAAACAGACGATAGAAATAGAAAAAAAAAATATCACATGGTTTTTAAATATTCAATTTTTTCTGGGGGGGTAAAGTAAAGAAGAAAAAAGTTAGGGGTAAAAAAAAAAAAACTAAAAGAAAAAAAACTAAAGTATCTGAATCTAAATTAAATCTTTTTTTAAGCTGTTAAAAGCCATCAAAGAATAAAAAGAAGCCTCGAGAGAATTTTTTTGTCTGAAGAAAAAGATTCCTCAAGTGTTGTTGAGAAGAAGAAGAAGCTAGTCTCACGACCATCTTGAAAATTTCTTGCAACTGTCTTGATTCGTCCAATTTAAATTCATCAAAGTCCTTGTTCGGGACATATAAACTTCTCTTCGGGAACACAGAAAGATGCATCGGACTTGCCGGTTTCACATTAGATTTATTTTATCAACCGACATTGGGTTGAAAGGTTATATTTTTTTTATAGCTTCCCACAGATATGTCTCTACAGTTTACAAATCAGACAAGGAATGGACGACACAGCCCACGCGAAGGACAAGTTGAGGCCTCGTTTTAGATACCGACACTAAAATTATAGAATCTTTACTTTCGTATCTACCATCCAAAAATTTAAAAAATATATATAAAAAATTTATTTTCTCCCCATTTTCTATCAGATAATACTAATTCATTTCTTAAATTCGACCGGTTTTCCTAAAAAAAATAATAAAACAATTTTAACCTTAAATTTGCAATTATATCAAACATACCATAGTTTCGTATCCAAATTTCAAAGATTGCTGAGGTCGTGATGGTGTGGGGGAGTGCTGAGGTTATTCACTTAAAAGTTAACTGAAAAGATATTTTATCTTGTCAGTTAATTTTGCTGCAGTAATTAAGTGAAATTTAGGATTTTTAAAAATCGCTTGTTGTTAAAATTCTCAGCAAATTTACAATTGAAAAATTACAATTTACACTAACTTATTTCATGTCAAACTAAGCCTCTTTTATAAATACCTCTACATAACGTGTGTGTGTGTGTGTGTATGTATATATATATATATAAAGAGAGAGAGAGACAGAGACATAGACAGAGACAGATAGTGGTTAGAGTGTTCACTTTCTGACCATGAGACCTGGGTTCGATTTATCAGGAAGGAGTTTTCCTGATGTTACCGGTCTGGAGGGTGGACAATCCCAGCATGTAGAGCTTTTGGAAAGTGCCAGAAAAACCATGCCACGTGTTGACCCAAGCCATGTGAGTGAAATTGGGTAGACAGAACAAAAATAGCTGTGCCAGCACAAAGCCACAAGTCATCGTGACCGAGGGTTTGAGTGTGCTGGAGTTGTTCAGATTGTTGATCATTTTACATAATACACTTTCTCCCAGAAACTGTAACTAAGGTCTGCTCAGCATAATTACAGTATAAACCACAAGTTAGCTCTGTGGGTGTTGAACAAACACAAATCTGCCAGAGTGAGAGTCTGCAACAGGGATTATTGTTAGATGAGTATCCTCGAATATGAGTGGACAGCTATCATTATATATATGTGTATGTATGTATGTGTGTGGGTACATTAAAAATAAATTACATCAGATAATTTAATATCAGAATTAATGTACACACATGCACGCATATAAATATACATATGAGACATACCTACCTACATATATATGTATTTGTTTCTGTCTACACCTGTGTTTGAGTGTGTGTGTGTATATATATATATATATATATATATATATATGTGTGTGTATATGTATATATGTTTGTATGTGTATATATATAGTGATTTTCCAGGCGTAGCTCAGATGTGGCACATGGCCGAAAGTATGGGGCACCCAGTGAGGATCGAACTCACTACTCAGTTGTAATTGCTCTAGTGAGACAAGCTTGCTAACCATTACACCACCTCGAGGCGCCCAATATATATATATATATATATATATATATATATATATATATATATATATATATGTGTGTGTGTGTGTGTGTGTATATATATATATATATACATGTGTGTATGCATGTATCTCTCTCTCTCTCTCTCTCTCTCTCTACATTAAAAAATAAACTATATCAGATAATTTAATATCACAAAAATACAAAAAGGTAAAATTAATATTTTAAATTTAATATATTATCTGTTCTTTTATAATTATTTTGAAATTTAATTTTTTTTTCTCTACTCATATAGAAATTTTTTATTACTTTATTTTTAGTGGATATCCATAATTGAGTGGATGGTCTGTTCATTTATTAAACTCTATATTTATTCATTGAGTCTGCCAATATTGTTTGTGGAATAAATTATCCAGGAGCCCATAAATATTTACTACCCAAAGGGTTGCTTCCTGTAACTAAATATTTAACCAATCATATTAGCATCCCGCAATAAGACTGAGAAGTGGTTCATTTTTATTGGTTAGGAAGAAATCCCAGCATGCATCTGTACAATTTATCTATACATGTGTGGAGGGTGATGATTTTAGCAGTCATTTCACCCAGAGTATATATTTTTACAGCATGAGGTGTTTTGTAGGTCCTTTGTGAATACGTAGTATTTTGGTACATGTTGGAGTGAGAGGTGATAGACAAGTTCTTGTGGTGATTGTGTATATTGTATTGAATGAATGGGTTGTGATTGTGTTTAACTAGGACGAGAATAGTTACCGAGTACCAGCCTCTCCCCACTTTCCCTTCGGCCTTGTGCCAAAATTTTTGCATTGAATCAGAAATAAATATACATTCCAACCATATTCAGTTAATGTGACAAGTTAAGTTAGACCAGTGATGACCCGCCTTCCCCACCCCCTTTTTTGGCATTGTGCCACATTTTTATTATAAAATACAATAAATGGTCATTCTGTCCAGATTGGAACCAAAATGTATGATGATTCCCTAGGCAGTCATCTTACTTATTATAGAATGCAGATTGTGTGTGTGTGTGTGTGTGTGTGTGTGTGTGTGTGTCTGTACGTTTATATATTGGATCGGATTTCCCACACTTTTCAACCGATTCCAACAAAACTTCACAAGACTACGTAAAATTACCTTGCGGTTGTTCTAACAGCACTAAAAATTGGAAAAAACACAATTGTTTTTGCACAAAATCAATTTGAAAACACAATTAATTGCGAGAATGAAAGCGGGACAACTCATATCGTGTTATACTTATTATAAAACCCAGGTTGTTTGTGTGTGTTTGTTTATATATGGGATTGGATTTCCTACATTTTTCAACCAATTTTTCAAACAAAACTTCACTTTCTTTTAGCAGGTAGTGTTTCTTATCGTCTTGCACACTTTTTTCTTTATTTTTACATTCAGAATGCTTTAAAAATTCCATTTACAAGACAATTGTTTATAATAAAATTCTATTCAATCACTAGACTCATAACGATTGAAAACAATGTTTTTGTTTGAGTTTGACCAAATCGTAAAAAAAAAAAAAAAAAAAAAAAAAAAAAAACTAATTAAGACATGCGTATCTGTCAACCTTAAATAATAATTTTTGTCAATTTTATTTTTCAGTCTTTATGATGGTTGATACTTGATCTATCTCTTACTGTTACATCCCCGGGCAATGTCGAGCTCTACTGCTAGTAATTAATATGCAAGACTATCATATCACGATTCTGCTACAATGAAATGCTTGTTGTATTCAAATTATACATATGTTTTATTATTATATTAAATTTCATTGAGCAAATTCCAACCTAGTTTGCTGCATTCACTTTTGGGGAAATCACTCTAGGAAATTCATCTCTTCATCAGCTAAAGACTGTTTGGAAAAATCTTGACAAAGAGCTTTCTTTTATCCTTAATAACAATCTTAAGGGTCACATAGGGCAACAGATCAGTTCCTTTGGTAGAATAATATATGACGTTTGTTTTGAGTGATTTGAACCAGTAATGGAAAAGAAAGATAAAAAAGAGGAAAAACGACCAAATCGACGACAAATCCAGAAAGGAAAGTTACGATCAGAATAAACATGACTGAAATATTATGTGTGCAACCTCACGACCTAACATGTGCAAGTGAAATATTTGCATTGCCGTTTATA